TTTTCCCGGGTAAATTGCCCTTCCTTATTTGGATTGGAAAACTACCCGATGGCTCTTTGCGTCATCCAAACAATGTCTTGTATAAAATCAATCCATTTGAAAAACTAAAAATAATTATGGGAGAAATATCTTGAAAAAAGTATTTTTGTTTTCAAGCTTTTTTTTCCAGATTTTTCTCATGTATATATTTGGCTATGCACCCAGTGCCAGTCAGGTGATCCTGCTTTTTAACAAGCTAAAATACTGCTAATTAGCCATGCTAATAAGCCACCTGTACCGCTACCATGTTTCTGGCCATTTGCTATCACCACTACTGGAACTATCACACTCCTGGCCAGATTTCTCAGCCTTGGTGTCACCTTTATCACCACAAATGGCTTCAGCTTCCTCTGCCAATACCACATGTAGCCCTTTGGCACTGAGGTCTATTTTGGACTCTAGGTCAAAGTCAGCATCCTCCGGCGCTTTGATACTTTCCCGCACATTATCTAACCAAGTGCTAGCCTGAGACTTGCTATCCTCAATCTCTTCATCTTCATCTTGGCATTCTGTTAACAGTAAGCTGTTCATTGTTTCATGGTGTCGCTTCACTACCTTTTGCTTAGGTGTAAGCAGGTGTGCATCAAGGTTGTAAAACTTGACTGTTGGCCGCTCTGGAGGTTTGGCCTACTTTTATGTGAACAAAAACAACAGTCAAAGGGTGCATAAATTGATCACTCACTGAGACATTATACATGTACCATTGTCGGATCTGTGTCATGTCCACCAAAGTGCATACATCCTGTTAATTTTGCAGTGGCATGTTCATTTGGGTAAATACAGACATAGTACGCTCTTCTGGCATTGAGCTTGGCCGAATGGAGAATATAATATTTTTACAGCCAGAGTCTGTATATCTGTAGATGAGCCTGGTTTTTGCGGATTCAAACTTGGACTTACTGCAAGAACACTCCCTTCGGGAATTCTTGTCAAGTGTGTCCACCATGATAGTGGTGATTGACCATCTTCAGGTAGGGCTTCAAAAGGGTACTGACCAGGAGCATAACATTCAAATTGTCAGAGAAAAGACTGCTGTGCTTCATGACCAGTTAATTTTTTCAGAACATTATTCTCCTTTGTCTTCCATTCGGCCTCAAGAAGACCTTTTAGAAACACAAGCACACGTGCAAAAACAGCATAGTTATGGATGGGTGGTCCTGAGGCCTCCAACATCAAAGTCTTTGCATGTTGTGTAGGAATCACTATAATAAGTGTGAGTGGATTCAAGTTCTTCTGGAAGATTCTGCTATGAACATAACCTAGAAAATACAAATTTGTTAGTATTCAATATTTAATTTGTTGTACTTACAAGGATTCAAGTAAAGAGCAGATATAGGAGCATCAGTGGGACCATCTGATAACATTCCATGAAATTGAGTATTGAATATGGCACAAATCTGACCAGATTTTTCCACCAAAAAGGGATTATTGTCATCATCAAATATTTGCTTTAGTGTGGCCCCAATTGTGAAGTAAAACAAGTAAATGTCTGAAAAGTCAATTCGCAATGACTCGAGGCAAGCAATTGCCTTTGCAATGGGAGTGACAACAAGTGTGTAACGATGTATTTGAAGTTCAAACTCCAAGGAGCGAGGGGAGCTGCTTTGGAGAAGGCCTGTAAGGTGTGATTTCTTTGCGGGAAACTTTACTTGCTTTGAGTTAATGATATGGCGCATTGCAGGGAGGCAGTGCTGCAATGATAATGCTGAAATACAAACTGTAGCAAAGCGGGTTTTCCCAATGCCCTCCAGACCACGAGCTATATTCAATGCTTTGCGAGCTTGTTTAAGAGAGTTATTAGCTGCATTTGACTTGTGGAAATAGGTAATAATTGAGCGAAGGCTTTTAACCACCTATATAGGAAAACAGATGAGAATAATTCTCTAATGCTCGGAGAAGAATCAAAAACTCACAGGCGAGAACATGTCCAGTTGTGTAATATCCTTGCAAAGAAGATTGAGATCGGGAATTTGAACCAGAGTTTTTATCTCTGTGCATAATAGCTGGCGAGCAACACAAGTATTCCCAGTGTTGTCAGATGTGACACCCGCAAAATGGTTTCGTCCAAGCAGGTCAATGGCCCTCAGTACAAGCTGTGCCAAGTACTTGCCAGTGTGAGATTCATCAGTGCATTCCTCCCCTTGGATAAGAAAGCTTCATCCTTCTGGTGTTGTAAAGTGAATAGTGTAAACCGCATCCTGTTGTTTTGCTGTTCCACCATCAAATGAAACTGTCAAGTTGAACTTTGATTTGAGAAAGTCAAGAGTAAGCTCTCGGACGTGTGCTGCTTCTTTGGGGATATGACTATCAGCAATGGTCGTGCTTGAAGCTGGCTGATAGGCTTTGTTTGCAATTGCATGCAAATCCTTCCATTCTTTGTAATCTGCAATTCGTGGGGGGGGAGACTTGCCGCACAGATAAGCTTGACAATAGCCAGGTCCATCCAAAGCCCCAGGATCTTTCGGCCTTCGCTTCCAAAATCCAGATCAATCACAGTAGGCTTGTTGGCTGTAGCATTGAGTAAAGGAATCTAGGCCAGCTCATGGCTATGATAAGAAACTTTGGGTGTCGGTTGGTCTCGGATCTGATCTTTGACACTGTTGAACAAGGAGTCAGCATTGTAGTGATTGGAGGTTGGGACATACTTGTTGTCATTCCAGTCATATTTGCAAGGACAAAGAAGGTATCCCATAAGGCTGTGAGCAAAACCTTGCCCATTTTTGTCAACTGTGTCGAGAGGAGAACATGAATACATTGTTGAAAAAAATTCCAATAACCCCAAAACCACAGCTGGTTTCATTTTCCCTGCATTATCCCCGCAAGCACCATCTGCCCCTTTTGTGAGCTTGATGACAAAGTTGAGCGTCAGAAGGGATGCAAGCTGGAAAGCAAATGACGTACCTGCTTATATATAGACAATAGTTTTTTGACCCTCACTGGTGTCTCAAGCAATTTTTGTTTGACAGATGGTACATAGAGTATGAACTCTTTGAATGTGTTGTAAAGGCAATTCTCGCTGTAGAGTAGGACATCAGTAGATATTCCAAGATAACTAAGGGAAAGAGCACACTCGTTAGTGTATTGCTAAGACCCTCCCAGTTATCACTAGTGCCATCATCATCTTTATCCCTGCAATCAGAGGCAGTGGCTATGTCAATCACAGAATCAAAGAAAGTAACTAGATGCCGAATACCGCGACCTTGAGCAACCCAAGAGTCCGTATCTCTGTAAAGATTAGGTGAGATGCAGGAAGTGTAGCTCAGATATATTGGCTTTACACTTTTTGTTTTTGACGCCCGTGTCTGAATTCTTCAAGCTGCTGTTTAAGGACCTCTAACCTGTATTTTGTCCCTGCATGCACAGTAGCAGAATCCATGTTTTGAGGGGGGGAAGATGCATCCATAGGTACTGCAGATGAAACAAGATATTCCCGACCTGGGATGGACTTTCAAGTTTTTAGGGAGAGAAAAAAAGATTGCCCTTAAGCATGTCGCACTTCTGTGTGACAATCATACAACACCAAATCTAACTTCAACATCAGATACTGAGTCTCTGCACCAGTTTCCCAGGCTGAAATTAGAAGGTTGATGGTCAACTAGCAAAAATTTTGTTCATAATTGATTATTGAGCCCAACCGTTAGGCAGGGTTGGGGGGCCACCCGCAACACAGCGTTAGACCCGTTGCAGGTTGAGGTCCAACCCATCAATCATAATATATTTATTGGCATCCGCTGGGTCAGCAGATACTTCCTGCTGATGGACAGGTTGGTGCTCAACCTTTGCTTTCATATATTATGTAAGTAACTGATCTGTGGAACCAAATTCAGGGAACTCTTTACCTCAAATGTTATTGGCCAATGAATAATAGATTGTAAAGTGCAATCAGATTTGAATCATTACCAGAAACATATTGACGTTTACCATCTGCCATCTACATTACAAGCATGAACACGGTCAACATGAGTATCAAAATCCAAAGTGAGCAGGTGTAAAGATCCTTCCTTTTAAGTGGAATGTTTACACACTTCTAATAGCAAGACCAGCGGGAACAACAAGATCACATAGCAGTACAGGTCTGAGCCATCAAAAGAGAGTCTTGCACAACCATAATCCACTGAGGAAACATCACAGTCTAAGATGGCCAGATGAACATGAAAAGTGTTATATCCCATTGATGCTCTCCTGGAAATGCGATATTGATACATATCCGCACTTGGATTATCCTTACGTCGACGAGATAATATTGTTGTTCAATCTTGCTAAAACCCGCCTGCAAAAACATATTCTTCTCCTGAATCTTCAAAAAGGCGGCATCACCACAGTCAAAGACATCATATTCATTGATCCTACTTGGATCTATTACTGAACTGATATTCCTGTGGGCAACATCATGAAATTTTTCCTGGAGGCACGGAGGGTTTTGCTGGAATTTCACCATCAAAAGCAGGCTGAAATTGATCAGTATGAGACTTTGCTTCGGGAAGGTAGAGAGATGATAAAGTAAATTCACCTCTTCAATTCCCTTTGATGGACACTGATTCAATGTCCTCAACAGCTTTTGCACAGGTAAACATGAAGGTCAAAAGAAAGACGGCTGGGACTTGGAGCCCAAATATGACCCAGAAGTCATAAATGAACAGTCCTCCATCTCCATTCTCTAGCGTTGGTTATGTAGGCTAGATAGCTTACTTTGGGATGAGTTTACTACTGTACTAAGATGGGTCACCTGTACTTCAGCTGAGAAGCTCCGAGATATCTGAGGGAGGAGGGCAAATTAGTCCATAATAATAGGAAATTGAGCATGATTATACCGAACCTTTGTAGAGCCTCACGAGAATATGTATGAAGCATACAATATGACAGAGGATGACCTCCAAATGATAGAGTTTTTGAGAGAGAATGGGGAATCTCTATTAGTAGCTGTTGTTCATTACATTACATTATTTTGATTTGGACATTTAGTGTATTGGCACTTACTATGAGCAAATCCCTGTAGAGCTGCCTCCAGATCTTTGAGAAACTTCTACAAGCAAGTGTATCAGCGTGATTTATCTATCACTGTGTTAAGGATGAAGCATTTAATCTAAAAAAGATATCTGAGAATGGAAGAAATGGAAAGCAGAATGGCTAAGAGAAGTAAACCAAGAAACATAGAAAGAAAAATGTAAAAAGCAAACTGAACCCATTCAGAATCAAAGAACCAAACCTCACGCCCGACTATACTAAATTTGCCCCATGCGACAGTCAAAGAAGCGTTCAAGGACATTGAGAACTGGTCCGCCTATGTGACCATAAGGGAAAATGATAATGAATAAATGTAGTAAAATGTGAGATGTACCCTGTTCAAGACTTGAGTTTCCTCGGAATCATGTTCTCTTGATGGGTGATGGGTGACAATTGATGCACCTGTGGTGATGGGCTGGCAACGAGGATGAATGACTGTGGGCGAACTCACTCACCGTCTGTGCGACCACCGAACGACTCTCCCCCACCTGCACAACCAATGTGCAACTCTCCTTCACCTGTAGGACCGTCTCCCAATTCTCTTCCGCCTATGCAACGACCAAATGGCTCTCTTCGGTGAGCATTATGTTGTTGGTGGACTCGGGGGTAGTGGGACACAATAAACTACTCAACGGCAGTGAAAATAGCGTAAATAGGTGGGAATGCGAGCTTGCCTTTGACTCACAGACATACTTGCAGGCACATGGGTAGGCGTCAAAATAAGATAATGAGATGAGATAAAGACTTACCCCACAATTAAATGACGGCGTGTATTGACTACTGTAAGAGGGCAATGATGATACAGCGAAGAGTGAGTAAAGGACAGAAGGAAAGACCGGCCCGTGGGTAATGTGACTCCAAATTTGGACGTTCTCTGCGTGGCCACTGCAGTCACCGGGAGTTTTTGATCTGAACACGGGGATTGCCAAAGTCACGCCACACTTACTCACTGTCAACGTTGCACACTAGTGATTGGGATGATTATTGCGATAATAGACATCGCGGACAGGATTTGATGATAGAACCCACCAGGAAAACCAGAGCGAATAATCTGATATGCTTGTGCATATACAGGGAAAATGTGAATGTGTGTACCATGAGTAAGCATAGATTGAGGAGACAGTGAGCAAAAAAAACATACCAAAATATAGGAGTCCAACACAATAGGAGTGTGGGACATGGTCTGGAAAATTCAGATATGCAATTGCCCATCAGTTTCACATCTGCAAGAAAACAAGATCATTCAGTAGGAGTGTAAATGCACCTTAGCACAACCAAATCACTTCCAAGGGCAACATTGATAAAACATGGCAAAGAAGAGAACCTGACCTTGGTGTGGGTATCTTCATGTTCAATTTGAGTGCTATGTATTGATGGTTATTCTGAATAACTTTCAAGATTTTAGCAAGTATGTCATCACAACAAAGGTACATGCGGGATTCATGTGGATTCTAAATCCTCAAGCATTCTCAGGCATCAAAAGGGAAGGTTAGGGGAGGTCTGCTCAACTGCACTCCCTACTAGTAACATGGCAGTACAAGCGCAATTTCAAGATGCCCATAATCGGATTCTCAATCATGCAAGGAGTCATGTGTGAGAAGAGAAGAGCTGCCTTACTGCCAAATCCCTGCCGGGTCACCACAAATTCAGGGTCACCTATTCCTTTTCAGTGTACCATATTCTGAATATTACATTGTGTTAGAATATACTCTGACATACCAATACCCCATAGGATAATACCTCTGATTTGTAAGCCAGCCCAGTATGCAGCAGCTATTCTGTGTAAGACATCTGTGGTTGCATGTCATGTTTAAGATCCTACATTGTATAACCTTGGCCATATAGCTCAATTGGTAGAGCAGCTGGCATGTATCCAGAAGGTTCCAGGTTCAATCCCTGGTCTGGTCAATATCCAATTTTATCACATTGTACGGGGACTAAGGCATTCGAAGGCAGGAAGCCGTTGAGGCTCTGCTGATCGTGATATTGCGTGGATGCATATCCCTGCTGAGAGTGCTGAGAATCATAGCATTGCTGAGGGTCAACATAATGCCAGAACTCAGTTGGTTGGAGGGAGTCAATGTGATGATCAAACTCAACATGGCATTTTACAGATTTGAGCTGGCTGTGTGCTCCAGCGCATTGCTGATCTTGCACATACTTGTTTTTATCCCAAGACGCAATCATGCTCTGAAAACACTTATAAGCATGCCTTTGGAAAATACAAAGATAACGGTAGTTGAGGACTTACACCAGGTGAAGTGTCCATCACGTTGGACTGAAAATCATCATTGAAAAAGCACCCACACTCTGATAACAAAGCTTGGTCAAAATCTTTGCGACGCATAAAAGGTTGCTGGAATTTGAGGGAGTGATGCATTGGTGAGACTTCAAACTGTTGATTATTGAGGCAGGGACTGAGACCCAAAGCCTGCTGGTTCTTGACACTTTGAAGCCAGTCAGATTCCTGCCTGGTGTCTTGATGTAAGTAATGCTGTTGACCCGGGAGTCCCTAGTACAATTCAGTATCTTGTTGATTCTCTGTACCACGGTAGAAATCACAAACCTGCTTCCCTTCAACGCCTCCGCAGAAGCTAGACTCTTGCTTAAAACGGGTACTTTGCCATTCCATGGCTTCCCTACGCCGCCGCTTGGGTTTGACAGACTTGAACCATATTGTATTACTTAACCTACCCAGACCCCCAGTGGCACTTACAGTATGATCCATATCCGAGTCAACCATTGTCACGTCCAACTCCGAGTCCTGCTGGTAATCCATAGTAAAGTCCATAGTATAAGTCGCACCGTGGATGCAAATTGTCAACAATGCTGCATGTAAGTAGCTGAGGCTCGCCGTGGTCGCCAAAAGGTTGTGACAAGACTTGGATGGCTTGACTTGGCAGAATTGCCTTTGGGTGATCCGTCTTGACAGTGCCAGCAGATTCAAGTGGGATTTTAAGAACATTGGCAGCACGATGACCAAAAGCTTGGGGATTGCAACTTACACAGAGATATTCCCCTGAGTTATGCAACATCGTTGTGAAGCATGATTTAGCCAACAGTCGTCAAAGTGGAATTACATCTAAGATTACATCATGAATCAATTAAAAGCGCACAGCGCTTGGCAATTACTTTACAACTGGCATGGTTGAGGTCCAACCTGCATGACAGCAAGTCGCTGTCACCAATCCGAGGCGGGAATGCTTCTCCACCAGTATTTGTTGTTCCAAGTTGGCAAATCCCACCAAACTGCCGGGGTATGGGTCCAACCTTGCCAACAGCAACAATATTGCTTCACTACTGACATTGGATTGTAGGATCTGTGAGAGCCCATCAATGTTGAAGGGGTTAAAGTCGTACGTTTCTGTATAAAAAGAAGAAGTTAAACACTATCTAAATATCAAACTATTGTTGCCGCACTCGCTCGCACCTTATCACATTACTATGATAGCTGATATGCACGTGAATAACTCACTGGCAGATGATTTGGACCACTCCGCCCGTGTACAACCTCCAAATTCAACCTCTAGCAACAACAACACACATTCTCACAGTGAGTTTTGCACCGAACCTGCATGCCAACAGGCCACCTGGTTTCAATTGTAAGTTTGTTCAATCTATCCAAAATTCAGACGCCAAAACTGACCAACATCAAGTTCAGGCCAGTTGAAAAGATAGGATTTTGGATAATCTTCCCTCTGGTACTATGTAAAACTTCCCTCTGAGAACATTCTTTAACTCTCAAATTGCTTCTTACATACAGAATACAAAAAACTTTTAGCTTCAAAAGTTGCAATGTTGACGGACAACGAGGCATTGTGTGATGAGAACAACAGATTATTGGAGGCAATAGCCCGCTTGCGCACAAACACAAGTTTACTGAGATCTCAGCGCAAGAGGTGGGAGCATAGATGGGCGGATGAAGCTTGTCAATGTGAACTCTATAGGTGACATGTACCTGGGGAGGACTTGGTGCACTGTATTGAGGGATCACAGGTCAATGTCTCACGAATTTCTGGTCCTTTCTGGATGACAGTGTACTGATTTAAGTTGGTGCATTTATTTTGCTTTTTTTCTGACTTCCTTACATTTCATTGAAGCTGATTCTACCACTGCCATTCTGTAGGTATCAGCGCTTTAACCAGCAATTATTATGAAGGGCTTACCACTCCATTTTCTTTTCCTCTACATCTTTGCTATGTTATTATGCAGCAAACTTTGTGACCGTACATCCACCTGTCAACAAGGACTCAGTAAAAATTGACATTCTTGCAAGCTATACAAAGAATTGCAGGCTCATGCAGTAGAAAAACGCGAGGAAAAACTTGAAAAGTTGAGGGCAAGGTTTACTGCGCTTAATAGATTGCGCAACACCTCCGCACCGTTATATCACACAAATACTGCCTTGTTGTGAGTAATTGCCGACATAAATTAATCTCTTAGCACCAAGTGATAATGTTTGCAGGGTCTCGGACAGGTTCGGCCATGGAGCTCTTGACTCAACATGTATCTCCACTTCTCTTCCTCCAACCTTCTTGTCATCATCCATGGTTGGGTTTCCTGATTCTACAGCATCCATATCACATCCTCATCGAGAAACATTTATACAGGATTCTGGGAGTGATCAGTCCACCAGACTCCCTGATCTATACTGTGATAATATTCCTGAAGGACCTGCACCGATAGACGTTCCCGCAGAGCCTTCCACAATTTCTAAAGTGCTGCTGTTTATTAGGGACAGAATAAGGACTTCCATAAACAAATTTGGCCTTGGTCATCAATATGCAAGCTGCCCCTCATATGATCCTGAAGACAAGATTAGCCCTCAAGATCTTTGGCAAGTAAGATATAGGGATCCCACAATGACCGGGGATACCACGGCATTGCAATCTAATCACTCATCCCACCCAGCTCCCTGGCCCTTTACTAATATGTCTATACATTGTATCATGAAGTGGATGATCACCGGCTCCCATCAAAAATCTGAGAGGGAGGTGACACAACTTGTCCAAGACATTATCTTGGCCCCGGACTTCAATATTAAGGACTTGCATAGCTTCAATGCCCGTCACGCAAACCAGGTTTTTGATCAGTCTGATTCTCCCAGTAATGACCCTTTCACATATGATGGTTGGAAAGAGAGTGAAGTAAACATTTGTATTCCTACTAGGACGATGGATGCAAACGGAAATGGTAAAGTTTTCTCTATTCCTCACTTCAGATACTGCCCTATTACCTTGGGTCCTTCAATCGGTCCTTTCCGAGGTCTCTGCAAAGGGGCTTCATCTGTTTTCTTTCAAACAGTTTTGGGTTCCTCCCTCTGGTGGCCCTGAGAAGTGCATGTGCAACGAACTCTACACCTCTGATGCCTGGCTTGAAGCTTAGGAAAAGCTAAGCAGACAACCACCCGAACCCGGATGCAAGTTGGAAAGGGTCATCACAGCCCTAATGTTCTGGTCGGACTCCACAAGTCTTGCATCATTTGGGAATGCCCAGGCACCTATTTACATGTATCTTGGCAACCTATCACAATACGCTCGCGGGAGGCTCACTTCCAGAGCATGTCAGCGTATTGCGTACATACCAACAGTAAGTTTATTTCGCTTATTCCACAATTCTGGTGTTAAAATCCAGTAGCTGCCAGATAGCATCCAAAAGTTCTTATCAATAGTCGTTCAGCAAACGCAAAAGTCTACCGCTCTTATCACCCATTGTTGTTGAGAGCTTATACATGAAGTCTGGAGGCTGCTTCTCGATTCCAATTTTATGCACCCGTACAAGCACGGCATAATTATCAAGTGTTTTGACGGGATCTTCAGGAGATTCTATCCACAAATTTTTACCTACTCCGCAGACTACCCTGAAAAGTGAGTGCCAGTGCTTTGTGGACCCTCTTGTAGTTTGTTTACATATCATATGTACATAGGGTTATGCTCGCTGCAATCCAAGATATGGGAAAATGCCCATGTCCTTGCTGTTTGGTCCAGCTATCTAATTGTGATCAATCAGGCCTAGTTCACAATTTTCAAGCCTGACTTTTGCAAGCTTGTGTTTATGTTGCAGGAAAGGTGTCGCTCACTAGAGATTTTATCTACAAACAAGGTGTACCAGTCAACGGGAAAGCGGTCCAAGATTTATTACAGTCTGAATCTCTGGTGCCGACCATAGTATGTTTGTTCAGAACTCTGTTCACAAGTCTCCAAAAACATTTTAGAATGTGTTTGCAGAGAGGCTGACTCCTTTTGGTTTTGATTCTTTTCAGATCTCCGTGGTGGACTTAATGCACGAGTTTGAGCTTGGTGTATGGAAGTCAACCTTCACCCATCTCATCTGTCTTCTCTTTTCCATCAGTCACTCAGCCGTTGCTGATTTAGATGCAAGGTTTGTAAGCAAAATATATTTTGTAATTTATCTGACTTCCTTATAGGTATCGTCAAATTCTTCCCTTTGGCCAAGGAAACATTTGCGCATTCGTTACGAATATATCTGAGATGAGAAAATTAGCAGCAAGGAACTTTGAGGATATACTGCAGGTATAGTTTTTCTATTTGTTCCGAGACATGCTTACTTATTGACCTGTAGTACTTTATGCCGGCTTTCAAAGGCTTATTTCCCCCAGAGCACGATAAAATAGTACAAACCCTCCTTTTCCGACTGTCTGAATGGCATGCACTTTCCAAGTTACATATTCGCACAAAATCTACTCTGGAATTACTAGACACGGCGCTTAAAGCCCTTTGCAAGCAAGCCCGCCAATTTCAGGACATTACATGTTCAGCTTTCAAGACAATGGAATTACCACGTGAAAAGGCTGCTTGTCTTCGGAGGCTGAAAGACAAACCCACTCTGAGTAAGGCAGAAGGGACCGGTACCCGTAATAGGGTATTCAATCTGGGTACTTACAAGTTTCATGCACTCGCAGACTACGTGCACACAATTTGCCTCTTTGGTTGCATGGACTCATATACCACACAAATAGCTGAGTTTACATCCCCTAAAAAACCTAATTAAACCACAATAATACTTCTGTAATAGGTTGAATTAGCACATCGCTTGGTTAAGCACTTTTATAGGCGTACCAACAAAACGCAAGTCATAAAGCAGCTTTTGATCCAAGAGCTGCGCCTCAGGAGGATGATGCGTAATGAGCCGGAACCTACCTTACACCCTCACCATCAAGCTCCCGAAGACACCCACAATAATGAAGGTGTTGAAAGGCTGGAACAAGGGTCCAACATCCAGGTGCACCATCACATATTGTCATATTGTCATAACCCCTTGGATCTCCACTCATTCCTTGGGAAGTTCCCTGTGGACAACCCTGCAATAATGGTACAAAATTCTGACGATAGTATAATCCATTGCACTGACTGTGAATTTACAGTCATTCATTCCTCAATTAAAAAGCCACTTACTAGGATGTGTCATGAATCTCGAATATGATGGAGACAAAACTGACTTCACGCCCCTGCAGCGGAATGATCTTCAAATAGTCAATAATCATATATATTTGATGCAGCTTTTTCAAGTAAACTATGTTACATATAATGTCAAGCGCGATAGAGACTCACTCAACCCTCACATTGGTTGCAATGTCATGGTGAAGTCTCACAAGAAAAACGCATCCCACCCCTTTTGGTACGCTAGGGTTCTTGGAGTGTTCCATACTCAAGATCTCCATGTTGGACCAAACACCATCAACTCCTCCGTTCAATACATGGAATTTTTATGGGTACGTTGGTATGCTAAGGTGACTGGTCACAGATTGGGTTTCAAGGTTGCTCAGTTACCCAAGATTGGTTTTGTAGATTCGGGGGATAAGGTCTCTCAATTTGGCTTCTTGGACCCTTTGCTGGTTATTTGCAGTTGTAACCTCATCCCCGCCTTCCATGATGAACAAACCTCTGCCTTATTGAGGCCAGGCCCATCTGCTAGCCATGCTCCTGGTGAGTCCGATGATTAGAGCGCATATTATGTTAACATGTAAGTTTTTCCTTCCCTGTTGACTGTTTATATTGGCTTACCAAGAGCAGTTTTGTTGATTGCAACATGTTCATGAGATTCTGTGGGGGTGGCATTAGCCATATGGCTTGCTCGCAATTGGTCTTGAGCAAAGATATAGTCGACAAGGCATCTGACAAGGAGGAGGATGTGACGGTGCACAGTAGAAGACCTTAGAGGGAGTGTATAGCTGGAGTTTACAGATCAATTCAGGCAGACCAACCAACCACCAGTGGGGCAAGGTCAGCAGAGAAAAGGCTGGCATTTGATGGGGTCCAGGTGATGGAGGACAAAGACGAGGTTGACCCCGAAGAGGAGGATATGGACATCAATGCCGTGGAAATGGACTTTGATGATGGGGAGTTTGATGACAACAACAAGGACAAGCCTGATATATTTGACAATTTTGATGACTTATGATGCAGTATCTTCATTTCAACACCTCTTTCGCTTTACATTACAGATCCCCCATGCCAGTATATCACTCAGTAACTTGGAACTATTTCATAGTGGCTTCTCACTATCTTGTTCATGTGAAACATGGACATTGATAATTAGGATGCTATATAGTACATGTACTTGGAACCAACCTGTAGACTTTTGCTCTCAGAAAGCTTGACACTAATATTGAAATATCACTGTACTGTGTGTGATTGCTGAATCCACTGAGTTGGATATCGTAGTCATGGCACCAAATTTATTACTAAGTTTACCTTGTAATTACAAATGGCTAGAAAGCCAAGTCAAATCAGATACTATACTTACCAAGAAGTTGTAAGGTGTCGCATTTTTTATCCCTAGCAAATCGAGCTTGGAGCACCCGCGGACCATTATGGGTGCAAATATCATAAGCTCAAAAAATTACGAAGACTTCATCATGCCATTGTCGACATCTGACATATATTAGGTGTTAGAGATACCATTTATTGCAAGTGCAAAACAATTGATGGCTTTGCTATATAGTTTGAAAGAACTCACATTGTTAAATCTCTATTGATAGGCTTATTGTGGACTCAGCATATTGTGATATAATTACTGCACAGTCATAAATATTGACGTGAATTGAACTGCACTGATAAAGAGTTGTAGACAACTGACATTAGTTGACCATTGTGGATATGAATATCATGAACTAAAAAAGTCATGTTAACCTTGTCACGTTATTGCAGATGTCCCACCCTTGTTGAGCTTATTGGAGGGAGTTATCGTAAGCTCAAAAATTTGAACGTCATTGCAATATAGTTGAAAGGAACTTACACTAATGGTTCTTCATGGATGCGCCTGTCATCAGATCAGATTGTTGCAATTGCATTATTGTTCAGTTGTGTACCAAGAAAATTGAGCGGTCATTCAGATATAAGGTTCTAATGGACAGGAATTATTGTGACGTTTTACAATGCCTTGGAATTCATTTATATTCCGCTAACAAAAATGAAAATCTGAATAACATATCAACTGGGTTACATTCTCATATACCTTGAGTATAACAGCCACAATCATGTCAGGATATGTACAAACCACGAAATGCCATATCATGATCATTGGGGTTTCTTGATGAGACTATGGCCCACAAATGCCACCCAATGTTTTACACAAACTATTGACTAGTTCTCCCAGACCATCATTCCTGCCGAACTTGGTTTCTCTATCCCCTTTACCTTACACAACCACCCTCGATGGAGCAGCTTGCTCAAGTCATTGAGACCGAGTGTCACTTTTCTTCGAGTAAGCCTTCCACCAACAATGTCCCAGGTAGACAAGGACCTTCTGATGGCAAATATTTTGGAAAGGATTACTCTATTGCAACATCTAATCATAGGCCATGGTATGCTCCTCCTCTGTTATTGTTTTGGCACATCTCATCGGAGAATGTAGCTTGTGCAAATTGATTTATGAGTTTTAAATTAATCCTTTCTCTTGCCTCTCTATCCCACCTAGAAAATCTGACTTTGCACTCAGCAATAGACTGTTATTCTAGTTGTGATTGCTCTTGAGATTCACATGACAGTACCAGCGCATTCTCCTCATTATGCAACATCACTTTTGATAAGATGTCTCTTCTTGCACTTTATTGAACCTCATTCAATCAAACCATTTGGACCACCTGGACATTCATTTCCGTGGGCTAGTCAATATCACGTTGCTTGCTGATTTTCTGCAGCAACTGAACTCCTATCCCTCCTGGCACACCTCCTTGCAGTGTGTCCGTCTAACTACGGCTCGTAGTACGGCCTCCTCTCTGGGCATACACCACCTGTTTGCTTTCAAATATATCATATCCCTCCATCTTCAAAATATAAGCACCCTGTTAGATGATGACACATTGAAGATGGTGGCAGAGACTTGGCCTTGTCTGCAAAGCCTTGCTGTAAGGGACCACAATCGACACTCATTGACAGTCTCTTTAAGTGGCTTCCTCTCCCTTGTCACCCAATGTCCAGCTCTTGCCAATTTATCTTTCAGACTTGATGCCACATCTATTCCTCCACTTCCAGAAAACTTACTACACAATCAAAAGCATTGAATACCCTGGATAGCCTATGTATATCTGTTGCAAAAATCCATTTTTCATGATTTGGCTGAATGCAGCCTGATAATGCTGTAAAATATTTGGATAACATATTAGATACAAAACGCTGTGGACAGGTTTGATCAGATACCTGTAAGGATAATACGTGTGATGAGTGTGAATACGCGCTAGCCACATTGATTGCGCTGACACGGCTGATTGTGCTGAAGTGCCGGAGTATGCTGATCAAGCTCACCAGGGTGACCTGTTAACTCAGCCTGAGTGCTGTGATAAAGGATATCCGTCGATTCAAGCAGAGGACACGGACAATGCTGGCCTGGTATTAGTAAGGCTTAATAGTCCTATTGTGTCTGGTTTGGCCTAATACAGAGTTTTTAATACATGCTTTTGTTTGCTTTTTGCTGGTTTTCAATCTTAAAGCTTAATAGTAAAAAGAGACAACAGCCATAGTATTTCATTGTAAATAGTGTCTACTAGTTGTTAAAGTGATATCCCCAAGGCAGATTTGTATATTACAAAGCCATTAGTATCAGTAAATACTGTTGTCATGCACCAAAGTTAATTGGTAGCATGGACAGGTGTCAATAACGAAGCAAATATTCAAAAAGACTTGCCTTTGCGCCACACAGGCACAGTGCCACATGGAATAGTAATTCACATTGCCTTTTTCAAAGTTGTGGCTGATCAGCACCACCCCTACTAGGCAATCCAGTTGCGCTCACCTTTGCTTTTCCATTCCGTACTTTCCGCGTTTTGGCATTTTGGCAAATTTTTGCGTCGCCACTGGCTACACATTGTGCCCTCACTTTTGTCGTTCTCCCTTGCTTTTTACTTTACTCAGCCCCACCATGGGACCCTTCCTCTCCTTTTATTCTCACCCAACGGTCGTTTCTGGATCCCATTTCTAATCCACCTCTTTGTCACCTCCACCTGTTACGATAACACAATTTCCGGACATCTCCTTTCTTTTCATTCTCCGCTTTAACTTTATACTTTAGCTTTCGCACATGGTATCGCGCGGCATTTCCCCTTTCTCGCGCCGCATTGCCTTTCTCTTATTTTAGATTCAACTCTCTCACGCAGTGGAGCTGGCCATACGGGCTAGGCCCTATGACATCATCAGCCACTGCCCCCATCAACTGTATAGTACATATGTACAAACAAACCTGTAGTAGTATATATACCCCAAGAGATCCAGGAGACTCCTCAGCGAGTCCTCCTGTTGTATACCAACTAACTCACTGCAGCCTAAGGGGTAACCACTCCCCATCTTCCATTATCTTCTATAGTGTGTTTCTGTGTGCGCCGGAGTAAAACACTCTTGGTTGTTACATTAGGACTTGCTCCTACCACTCTCTCGCACGTTTGTGCAAAAAGTCCCACTGGGCACCCGGACTCCAGGGTGAAGGAGATTGGTTAGTGGTTAGGAATATCCCGTATAGCAGATAGGTGCGCTCCTAGCGACGGCCTTGTAGTGCTTTGGGAGAAGAACCCAAAACCTTTGATACGCGGTCCCCAGCGTTAAGGGGAGTACTATAGCTCAGCAGTTGGTGTGGAACCACTGTTGATTAGATTTAGAATACAAAACTTCCTTTTCAAATACCTCTGACCAGGCCGGGCACTTGCCTCCGCCAGTCTGGAGAAGGGTTGACAGCTTAACAAGCGGACCACCCCCTGACAACCGTTTGGACCAGGGTTTACTACGTTTACTTTTTATATACCTTTTCAAATACTATAGTGTGGGTAGTCGGAGATTGAGATCCGATACTCAGCTGGGAAGAGGTTGATCCGCAGATAGCAAGCGGGAACCCCCAGTTACCTTTTTTTTACCTTACCAAAGAGAACAAGTCGACATGTCATTGCAACCCCAACAACAAGATGTCAACGCCCTGTTGCATAACATGCGGCAGCAAATCCTGGCGTTGACCACGCAACTCGCTGAGATACAGGCAAACCCCCCTGTAGCAACCCCCTCGGTTGAAAAGAAATTCAACAAAAAGGTTGAAGTCGTCACTGACCCCGGCGCCTTTGAAGGAGACAGAGCGCAATTTGCCGAATGGTGGATCAAGCTCCAGATTTGGGTCAAGGCAAACTGGGACGCGTTTGCCGACGATTTTGAGGTAGCAACTGCAGTGCTATCTTGCCTAAAAGGACCTGTGGTGGGTCGATACGCCCAAGATTACAGGAGTGTTACACTGCGGGAGTGTGGCCCACCTGGGACGATCTCAAGATAGAGATCAAAAAATATTTTAAACCACAAGCTGAGCGTGACTGGGCGCGTCAGCAAATCCGTTCCTTCAAACAAGGAAACATGAGGACGGATGATTTTGTAACCCGGTTCCTGGCCCTCTCCATCCAAGGAGGGTTAGGTAATGAACATGCAGGAGAACTGCTGGAACGTAATATGAACCCTCGCATT